AATAATTGCAACAATAATTGTTTAGTTTAATATTTTAGTAATCATGTATCATATTTTTAGTTATTTATTAAGATTGTGTTCAGTTATCTTATTGTATTTCATTCAATAGACTCTATTGAACACAAATGAACTTTAAAGTATTATAATTTTATAAAGTCTCACATTTTCAACATTTGTAAAAATATTCAATATTTAAAATGTTGACAGATAATATCTAATAACTAATAATTATAAGAATTTACTTTTTATAATTCATATTTTCATCGCAAAGTGGATGCAGAATATAAACTAATACTTAAAGTAATTCTTATATTATATACCATAAGAAAATTTTTAAAATGGCTATTATTTATAATATTTATCAACTTAAATTTATTCATAATGAATCATGATTCATGATACTAAAATTGCATGACTATTATATGTATTACTATTATATTAACAGTAAATATTCAACTCGATTCTACTATATTTATTATTCTATATTATATTTCTATTATAAATATTACTTGCAATTATACTTTAATTAAAATTTTTCCTTTAAAATTAGTGTATCTATGGTAGCACTGATTGATCAGTGTAACTTTTCTATAATTTTTAACAATTGATCTAAAATTTTATATAAAATACAGAACTTTATAATGTACTTTTATAAGCCTGATGATTGTTGAGTTTAATATTGCAGATATTAAAATATTTGGAAAACTCTTTTTTTTACTTTTTTAACCTTTATAATGTTTTATTTATAATGAATTAGTCTTACAATCTGTAGATCTGAATTTGAGATAGACTTCTAATGTGAGTAACATTTATTGTGATTCACAATTTGTGATCGTTAATAGTCAGCAAATGTAACCAATTAGAAACTACTGAATTTACTGAATTCAAATTGAAATTCATTAAACTTTATTTATATTATTATTTTTAACGTAGTGACTTAAAATAATCTAGTTTAATAAATGGTGTACTGTAGATAAACCCTATAATTATTTTATAAAAGTAGTTTCAAAGAAACACAAAATGTTATTAAACTCGGTTATTCCATTACTGTATGTAAAACCCGGGGCTTTCATAGTAAGTACAGTATACTGTATCAAAAACACTGTATATTTTCAAACGAATATATAATTACTTAAATATTATGTAAAATTCTAAATCATTAACAAAATATAATTATATTAGCAACAAGTTATAAGTTTTTATTTATTTATTGAAGTATGGTTGTATGTAATATACATATTATTAAAATAAATTATTTTTATAATAATATTATAATGATACATCAATTTATTTGTATAGTTTTTAAAATCTTAAATTATAGCTTATCTAGCTTATCTTAAATATAAATTATTTAACTATATTACCGTTTATTAAAGAATGTATATTTATATTAATAAAATGAATTTCTTTGTTAGTTAATATACATCCTTAATTTCAGTACCAATTCAGGTCACAAATGTTTAATTTTTTAAATAGAATTTAATTAAAATATTTTTTTAAATAGAAATTAGAAAATTATTTCAATAATTTATTATGTTACTTGAATAACTTTAACTAAATAATAATAAATGATTATTACAATTTTTTCAAACAATTGCATAATTTAAAAAATATGCAGTAAAATAATTTTTATTTATTAAGTTAGTTTTACGGTTTTAATTATATATCTAACAATTTATTTATGCCTATAGGATGTTTATTTTTGTATAAACCTTTCTTAACTATATAAGATCAGTTTCACAATTGAGACACCGATTTGTCTGTGACTTATATGCTATAAAAAATATTCATTTGATTTAATTAAATAAAAATTAACCAATCAATGGTGTGAACGTTGATATGATCTCATGTTTACAAATTCATAGAATTGATTAAAATTAAATTATTTTAACAAATAAACAAATATTAACAAAACAATATTTGAGAGATCACACGGTTTTTGTCAAATAGTAAACAATTTGAATGTTAAATAAAAATACCTTTCTTGAATATAAGGGATATTTTATTTACAAAGTCTTAATAATTATACAATTTAGCATTAATTGGCTTAAAACTCAATTAAAGCCCAGGTATTTAGGGCTGGAAAGGCCGGGAGCTATATTTCAATGCCGATCCACGCAATTATGACGTAAATGACAGCTATTTCTCTGTTCGCAACCAAAGGGAAAATATTTAAAGCTTTTCCTTTTGGATATCGGAGTTAGAGTTAATTTGGTGTCAAAATATCCTTTCATTCTATCATTTATTACATAATTTGTACACAATTTATACATTTTTGTTATAATGTTTGCTTATGTGATGAGTGGTAAGAGTGTCGTAAAGCCGTCAATAATTGGCGACCAATCGGTCCTTTTGAAGACCGTTTGGAATTATTCCAAAGAATTACCGAAAATTCATAAGAGATATAACCACAAGAGTACCACTTCTAACAAATCATCACCAAATGTCTTGATTACAGGTATGTCTTATCGATTAAAGTTTATCATACATACTATTTTTAATAAATACAGTAATATACAACTTTTGTTTATACTTTTTAAGGAATAAATAATTTCTTTGTTAACACTTTAAATTCATTCAATTAAACAGAATTTATTACCAGTTAATTAATTTTTAAAATTTAATTTATACCATATACTGGTAAAGTGTAAAATTCATTATCACAATATTCTGTTAAAAAATTATTTGAAAATATTCTTAAATATATTTAAATATTCCTTAAATAAAAGTATAATTACGATAAAGACTTATGTGTTTCAATACTGTATTAATTATCAGTGAAAAGGAGTTAAAAATAAAATTAAGATATTTGCCGAACGTTTTCGGTCTACACTGAGACCATCATCAGGGCTTAAGATGTTAAAGAGATAATTGATATGATTGTCGTTTAACTTAATTTATTTTGTTAAAATTTATAAAAATATTATTTTAAAATTTAAAATAATTTATTATGCATTAAATTATATTTAAATTTTATATCTGTATTATGATTAAAAATCAAATACTTATTGAAATATTCAATAAAAAAATAAAAATGTATAATATTATAAATTATAATTTATAATATACAGATTTTTTGTGACACTTTTAATTAGTAATTTAAAATAGAAATTTTAAAAAGTAAAACAAAATAATTTTAAATTCTTTGTTGTCAACCGAAGTTCACATTCTTTTAGATATGATATAAGAATATATTGAAGAATAAAAGTTGATTTGAAGGCCAATATAACAGTTTCATTAGAATTGAGAGATGAGGTGATCCTGAGCTGATGGGCTGATGGGGACGGGAGCTTATAGTTAATTAAATTTAATACCTGTACCACAATGAGACACAAGTATATGTACACTTATACAGTGCATAAAGTGCCGTGAATTTAATAATAATGAATCTGAAGTTAAACTCAAACAAAAGTTCAAGGCTTACCGCTTTGTTAATGATATTCTAACGTATTAAAGAATATTACCTAGTAACTTATATTGTATACTTATATCGTAATTATGAAATACTAATACTAATATCTGTGCAGGCAGTTTGGGACAGTTAGGCACTGGTCTCGCAAAACTCATGAGGTATTAAATGAGTTGTAATATATGATCATTATTTGGCACACATTTGAATGATAATCTAAATATTCAGACAGAAGTATGGCGTGGAAAACGTGATTATGTCGGACATAATCAAAGCTCCCAAAGAGATCCTACGGAGCGGACCATTCATTTACGCAGATATTCTTGACTTCAAGAATCTGCAGGAGATTGTTGTCAATCACCGCATCGATTGGTTAATACATTTCAGTGCTTTACTCAGTTCTGTGGGAGAATATAACGTTCCCCTCGCCATGAGAGTCAATATCGACGGATTGCATAATGTGTTGGAATTGTCGCGTCAGTACAAACTCAGACTCTTCGTGCCCTCAACTATAGGCGCATTTGGTCCACAATCGCCCAGAAATATCCCAACGCCTGGTATGTCATACAGTATTCATAAGAAAATAATTTTATAAAGTATTGAAAATATTGTAGATTTCTGTGTCCAAAGACCTCAAACTATTTACGGCGTCTCCAAAGTTCACGCAGAACTCATCGGAGAGGTATATAAATGTGGATTCAATGAGTATATATTCAATCCCTAATACACTATCATTTCTTTATTAATAATTGAATTCTATTGGATGCTTGAATATGACCTCTCACATTCAGTAATACACATATTGAACACATCTTGTTAATCTTTACGACAGAATTATAATATAAAATATTATTTCTTTTTCACTGATAATCAATAAATTTGGATGATTTAACGAAATGAGTCTTTCAACTCTTCTTTTAATATGACAGTACAGTACTGTTTAGCACTCTTGCAGTCATTTAACAGAAGAGTTGAAAGACTCATATCGTTAAATAGTCCCAGAAATATTGAAACAAAAAGTCTTAGAATTATATTTGATATCATTTCATGGGATAGAAGTACTTATACAGCACATTTTTACAATTTTCCAATCAAAATGTTTTGTCCCTTTAATTAATTTATAATTATAGCAATGACAACTAATTTGGCTAAAACAGTAATGGAAAATACTTTTAAAAAGTTTAAACTTTAAAGTATTTTGGAAACATTTATATTTCAATAAAATAGTATTTTAAAGTAATTTTCCAATGAATTACCATACTAAATTAATTCACAAGTTAGTATTATTATATATTAACATGGAGAATCTCAATATTGAAGATTCTAATGAATGTACTAAATAATTCAGTTGTTAGCTAACATCTAAACTAGTATTAAAATTAATAACTAATTACAATTTGACAACATATTACAGTATTATTGGCAAAAATTTGGGTTAGACTTCCGTTGCCTGCGATTCCCTGGCGTGATATCCTCCGACACTAACCCCGGGGGCGGAACCACTG